GAACCAGTGTGGCGTAAATTCGAATAATTTAATAGGCACCCCGTTTGCACGCCGTACATTATCAGTTATTTATTTTCAATCACATATTCCCAATTATATCAGAACACTAGTTGCTAAAATAAACTATAAGACGGACAATTCTGTCTCAAAAACTAGCATTTATTCACGTATGATACTCTAGACTTAATCTATAAACTGTATCACACGTTGAAGAGGGTGGGGGTTGAGAAAATGTGACGTTGTGTGTCAAGATGGAATGGGACCTAATGTGACATTAAATTTCAATATCTACTATGGTGTCACTGTATTAAGACACGAATATTGAACTAATAAAATATTTTAACTTCATCTGTATTAAAAGAGTTTTAATGGATTTCAAGTATATTGCATAATATGACTCACACTAGGGAGGGAGGATCCTAAATGTGACCAAATGTTATCACATTGGCTGCCCTTTTATGCACGTTACTTTATATACTCTTTTAGTGTCCAATTAAGATGAAAAAATGGCAAAATACATAAAATATTTATTAATTAAGTAACTATCACGTTTATGTATTAAGTTAAATAAATACTCATATTATACCTACTTGTACTGACAAATCATTAATTAGGTAATTTGTAACTATATACCTTACTAGCTTTTACCCGCTACTTTGTTAGCTGTTTATACCAACTTTTACCTGTCCCTACTTTCAGATATTTTCATGTAAAATTACATTAAATTTCACCGTTTAGTTAAAAAGCAACAAACACGCAGTCAGACAGACCGACTTTCACATTTATAATATTAGTATAAAGTAATTGATTATCTCTTTCTGTCACGTGACATAGCACGTGCTCTATTGCTAGTTATTGATCCCTTGAACAATGACCTTCGGTTCACGTGGTTACTCTATAATGTTTCTATCGTCCTACATTGTTTATCTGTATACACAAAAATACAGACATTCCACACATATATAGACATATAAATACTCGGAAGTGTATCAATGTGTGCGTGATGTTTTGACGCATTACTCACACACAAACACCAGTGTACAATGCAGTATGACGCAGCAAAAACACGCACACACACGCAGCACACTTTTAAACATTGAGGAAGTGGGGGGATGGGAGGACATCACGGAATGGACGTATTATATAGGACGCGCGGACGCAGATCAAACCAGTTACGTTCTAGAAGTAAACAAAGAAGCAACTCCTTAGAGTACAGAGTAATATCAGCTCCGGCTAAGGCCAAAAAATGGGTACGTTAACCTTTTATTAACTAAATAATCCATTAAAATTTACAACTTTTTTTGGCGGTATAAACTATTTTCTTGAGCCGCTTTTTATTTTTTAAATATTTTTTTTATTGTTTATAATATCACGTTCAAGTCAATTGGTCTCGTGCAAACAACATAATCTCATGACCTATAAACTCATTCGTTATTTACTTTATGGTCATTGTCGAGTATACCGACGTTGTGTTAATTAATGATAATTAATTATAACCAATAATTAAGAATAACTAAATTATTTTCTGAAGGTTTCTCTCATATTTTGTGTCATTTGTACGAAATCTATGTGGCTTCATGTTTTCAGAGATCTTTGGAATTATCGACAACTGATTTTCGCCGTGCATTCTATCATAAATTATAATTAAATATAAAAATATACTTCTTCAAATTGTGTATCATTTGTGTGGATGTAAACTGACCTAACACAATGAATAAATACATAATATTAACTTTGTATATACTTATTGGTCACATAGATTATGCAAATTGCATTACGAAGTACTAATAGAAATATTTTTGACTCAAATCTGATCCAAATCGGAACAGAGTCAAAATTGGGTAGAGTATATCTCTTTTATTCGATATTTTCGGGGTTATGTACATTTCAGTATTTATCGTTAGAATTTCGATTTCATTTTGATTCGTTGCAATATCAAACTTCTAAAGGTAACAAAATGTAGAGCAATTAAAAAGGGGAATAAATTAGACAACTTCTAAAACGTTTAAAAATTATTGCATTACACTGGAAATCGAAATTCCGACTAAGACCAACGCTCAAACCCCTAGCGATGCCCTTAGACTAAAGTCGTATCGATGCAGGAGTTGCTCTCTCCATAAGTCCTTCCGCGGGTTTGGAGTGCCATCTGCACTCACCCTCAATCGTTTGGTGAAGCTGCTTTACAGCTTACCTTTACAGCTTTAATAGTTAAAAAAAAAACAGTTTAGAAGGCACACAGTTTATTGCCAACAAGCTTTTGCACGGTTTAGCATTTTTAATAAACATTATCTTATTTGCTATCAGTTTATGAACAGTTGTTGACACACTTTTAATATCAGTGAACAAAATGAATATTACATCCACTTAACACTTAAAAATCAAGTAATAATAATCATAGGCATTTCGTTCTATCATATTTAGTTTGACATCGAAAGATCTATATTGCGATTTCGTGATCCGATTGGTATAATATGTAGGTTACCACTTAACATCAGGTGGGCCCCTCATCTTGTTTTCAGTTATAAAAAATCAATGATATACCATACCTTGGCAATGATATTGACGTTGATTCTCCAGTCATTTGGAGGACAAGACTAAAATAACCTCTTGGAAGTTAGATGTGCTCAATAATGAGACTATATTTCACGCCGGCCTGGCACTTATAATATTGAAAGACGTAAATTCGTTGGCACATTGACTACTGGTCTAATCTGTGGACTGGACGACCACAATATTGGCTTCCTACATTTAACCTATTTAGTACCAAGATTGAATCATCGATAAAGATTTATTAGAGTACCCATAAGCATTGCTGAGTGACGTTGCATCTGTGTCTATTTTCCATAGCATATATCATAACAGAAAAATGGTTGAATCTACCACAAATTACAATACAATCCTGAACTGTGGTAGTCTTTAACAGTGCAATTTTCTATAAACTTTTTGCCGTTATACTACATTGTGCTTCCTCCAAGATAGATTTTTTTCTAGCACGAAATCGATACAATGTTCAAATATATAACTCTAAAACAGAACTTTCTAAAAAGGCGGCAATCACCATCAATTCCTCTGGTGTTAGGGGTGTTTAAAAACATTTACCACAAGCGAGTGTGAGAGGTTGCATTTGTTCGCATCACCTTTTTCTTCTACAATGGCTCTAACAGTCAATACAGTTTATCTCCGATGCAATTTTCAGTACTTTTGAGTCGTATGTACATTTTAGGACAGAAAAAAAGTTATTTGTACTCGTTTCTAAGAAAGTAATACTTAAATAGTGTATCAACAGCTTGACAAATTAATATTTAGTTATGATCATGCAATTGATAAGGTATTAAAACATAATATAATTTTGTTTATCTAGCCTAGCTATCACAATATCTTCATAGGCAGCTATGAATAGAGAGAGACGCAGGCAGATCTCATAGATAGATACCGAAGGATAGGACAATTTTGTATTGCATAGTAATAGGTCATTTGTCTAGAAATATTTGCTCCAAATTAAATCTAATAGCTTTTCAGTATTGAAAATGCAAGAATTGTTGGTTTTATAAAAAATCTAGCCTCATAGAACAAATACAATTGATACCGGCTACTAAATAACTTTACCTTTACCCAAGACTTTTATTTCGATCGTTTGGATGAACAGTGTTCTACTATCTTTATTTCTAGAAACTACTGCCACGCGAACCCTAGCATTATTTTCTAGACAATTCCAACACTAAAGCAATACGATACTGAAATCTTTGAAAGGAGAACAATTCACTTGAGGCTCTGACGTAGTGTTAGAAATTATAAAATAGGCATATTACCTGAAATAATAAAGTAGTATATAATTTTAAAGGGGATTTTCAATTAAAAAAAACATTTTACATGTTCGGAAATGACGATGTGCGATTTCGACTGCCAATTTATTCGTTTATATTTAATGTAGAGTTAGTTCCTAGAATAGTTTATGAATTTCTATGAATAACCGTAATGTTGACAGGCTATATAGATATAAGTATGTTTTCCGACGCAGCACGGTCGCACGTTTGCGTCATCGTACCACGGCGATCGCGTGACCCGTTTCTGATAATCAAATTAATGAACACTTCTTTTGTATACCAATGTCATTGTACCACTCTGTAAGAAAGAAATAAATGGTCTAGAATTATCTGTCATTTAGTAAATGCAAATATTGTAACAAATACACAAAGTTTAATGGCTTACAAAATGAGACAAATTTTGAACCGACTCTTGCTTTATCTAAGTTTAACGACCTCATATAGCACAGAACAATGAAAAGAAAAAGAACGTTTGTGCTATTAAACGAGTGTTCTTTTTTCAAAATGCTAATTGTTCCCGCCAATTTGTTATGAACTAGGCGGTCTGGCATTTTGTTCTTTGCTCGTATCGTAATATTTATTTATTACATATATACATAGTGTTTTGTTAAATGTAGTATATATATATTTATACAGTGGATAGTAAACTCGACACATTCACTTATCGGGAAAGTTTATTGTATGTTATCTCATTTTAAATACCTACATGAGTTCACATTGTGGTGAAAAAGGAATTAAAATATAATAATATGTAGAAATATGGCAATGGAAATATTTTTACCTAATTAATTATAATAGAGATGTAGGTTAATGCCTATATAAGAAACCTTCAGAAACTAACCGTAACATGTGATTGCATGGAAAATATTAAATATAGTATATTTACGAGTATTCCTACGTCATTTACAAGTACTGCCAATAATTAAACCTTGACCTTACAACTAATTAAGAGTATATTGATTTTAATTAATTATTCTTCGATTCCTTTCAGAAACGTTAAATATAAAACCGTTAAGTGAGGAACAGTGGTCTCCAGATTCGCCGAAGGGCGTGGAGGCCACTGGGCTCGTAGGACCTGACGTCCAGGAGCCCGCCGCAATGGCTTCGACATCGAGCGAGGAGCGCGCCATACGCCGCGTTATGGGCCGCTGGGGAGCCGAGTGGTTGAGCTGACTCGGCTCAGGAGCCCCGAAGCCCGTCGTGCCGGCGTGGCCGGCCGACCACCCCCTCCCACCCCCGCGGTGGGGGGCCCCTCGCCCGGCTTTGCACCTCTCCCTGCAGCAGTACGAGGACCTGGTTGCAAAAGCCGAGGCGCTCCTGAGCCGTCTCGTCGTCTCAGAGAATTATGACTCCATTAATAACTTCTTGACTCTCTACGACTCCTACATGTCAGCCCCGGATGAGAAGCTGGAGACATTCTTCCCAAAATATATTCCACCGATCAGACCGCGGAAGAACACGTGTGTCGGTTTGGGAATGGAGGTGATGAAGAAGTTAAGGGTTTTGGAGAAAGATTTCCCTGGTATCACCAAATCGATGATGCTCGTGTCTTGCGATGAGAACATACAAGATCTGGCGGACTATGCGACCTCGAGTCCTGGACCGCAAGGATTCTTGATCGAGACGGAGAAGGACCACGTGATGGTCGCTATCCACGTGAAGATCGGGGGAAGACATGGTGTATTTTTATCAGATCTGGGTTACCACATCTCCCGGGTCGTCACCGTGATGGATGACCGCTGCTACCCTCATACCGGTAAGTTATAGATCCTAAGACTTTGAACCACCTATATACTGCGTTCGCACAAATTCATCATTGCAAAAATCTATATATTTTTCTAGAAATCCTTGATCTTCTCTCCATTGTGTAGCGGTTTAGCACGCTACTTTATAACGAATGGTTGTGCGTTCGATTCGAGTATGATTGTTTGCATTGATCTGGGACCCAAGAAACACTCAGACTCTGGATCTAGGTCTAGATGTTTTCTATGTGTAATAATAATAATAAACCTGTATATTATGTATGTATTTACAAAAAAATATATGTAAGTATATCTACTATAGTTGTGTAATTTGTATAAGACCCATAACACAAGCTCTGCTTACTGGGACTAGATCGCGCTGTGGTAATTGTAATATTATTATTAACTTATTTTAAATTAGCCTATTTTCCACCAGGCTGGTTCACTCAGACCGACCAGCCCCATTGCCGCAAGGAGTACAACTACAAGCTAAACCTACAGAACTCCAACTACATAGAGTGGCACGAAAGGGAAACCAGGGGGTCCAATGTGAAGGAACGCCTGTCACTGATATATGTTGCCAAGGCTTATCTGACAGCTGTTTCCGTTACAGAGAAGAGAAATCTTGTGTGGGATTTGAGGTAAGTGTCATTAATAGAAATCAAAACGCTTTTATTTATTTATACATTTTTTTGCACACAATTGTATATATGGCAGAATATGACATTTTGAACCAGTCAAGCTTTGCATTGATCAGAGACAATAGGACGGAGCAATTTAAGATATGTGATATGTAAGATATAAAAACAGTATAAATAAATATAAATAAGTATATAAAATGTGGCACTAAGATATATATATTTTTCATATTATATGTATATATTTCAGTTCCACATTTTTATATACATTACAATTGCAAAGAAGGTAACAGCCCTAATATGGTGGTACGTGGTAACTGTAGCTTATTTACATGAACAGCGTCACGGGCATTACATAATTTTGACAGCGTATCTTTATCAGTTGTCTAGTACATGTAAGACAAGCTCTGCTTACCTTGAGACTGGATGACGTTGTGTGATTGGTATCACATATTAATAACACGCCCCTATGATTCATGACTTCATAACTTCAGGAGAATCATTAACTACAGTACATATTTACCACGATGAATATATTATATCACTGGTGCTCTATGACTCACCTAATGATTCAAATATCCATTATGGTAATTGCTACCATAATGCAGATCACACAATTGTCATAAATGCTAATACTGGGACTTTCTAATCACCCATGGGAAATGCCCTGAATAAGGGGTGTACCGCAAACTTATCATAATTATATCGACTATCGGAGTGAGGCTATTCTTTGTTTAATCATTCGGTATTCGAAGAATTCCCTCGAAAGATATGCTCGACATTATGGTTTTATGCATTATTTTCACTAAAGTATTCCCTTATCTACATAGATCCTTTGTATATTTTATACTACGATGGTGGCAAACAAGCATACTGCCTCTCTGATGGTAAATGGTTACCGTAGTATATATAGCAGCCGCCTGTAACACCAGGAGTATAACATGCGTTTTGTCGACCCTTTAGAAACCATAATATACCCTTCTTGCAAGAAGGGTATCTTCTTAAAAAGCAGCATGCTGTCATCTGTAGATTGTAGATTGCAGATTTTGCCAACTTGAAGAATTAACGCTTACACGTCCTCTTTGTTTGTAGCCCACTCATGCATAAACGAAATATCTCCTTTGGAAAGTATACGCTCTATCCTGAGGAGATATAAAATCGTGTATCCTAAGAATATCCTTCAATTCTTGTCCCTGACGGGTCTAAGTAGCGAACTTTGAAAAACAGCGAGCACAATAGATCTATGTAGTCGGAAAGCTACAGGTCTAAAGAACCTGAAAAAATCCCAAACCGCTCAATAAAAAAATATGTCAACTAGTTAGCAATTCCAGTTACTATTATGACACTTATTATTATAATGCATTAGAGTTTTATATAATCTGACAGTAAAAATGGTATTCATTATTCTTCCAGGAGTTTGCTGGCTAGAGATCCGAAGGGCAACCTGACCGCCGGCATCTACTTCCCGCTGAAGCCCAAAACCCAAGAGTTCACCATGTTCTTCGATAGTAACAGCGGCAAACAGAGGAAGAAATTGAAATTCGAGACGTTCTTGGAACTACAAAAGGTATGTATTTGCCATTCTTTACTTCTTTAATTGAAATGGCAAACAAGCTAACGACCTACCTTTGTACATTGTAATTTTACTGCCTTATATAACTCTTTAAACGAACTTTTTACAAAGTCTACCTTGGTAGATTATAGCTTGGTATTTTAATTTTCTACAATATATATTACCTACCAAAAATGGGTCTCAGGCAAGTCGTACAACTCTAAATTCTGAATCCAAATGACAAACATAAAAAACTATCTGGTGCGGCAAACGTAGATATGTTCAGTATATTTATTCATCAAAATTATTTATATATATTTTTATTGCACTTTTAAATACATTTCTAAATTTAAATATATACAGAGTGAGCAAAGGTTGACTTATCTCTAAAAGAGATTTACATAAATAAGTTTAATGAAATTACACACGGTGAGACAAATGTCATAAAATTAGATAGGTTTATGTAGGAAAATATTCGAAGAAAAATAATTGAAAAGTAAAAAAGAAATTAGGATGATTATTAACGAATTAGGCACTAAGTACGATAATAATATTTTGTGGCAATATGCTTAAAGGCTACGTTAATTATTAATCTTAAAAATCCACCTACATATGGAATAGTTATTTATGCATACCGTTGCAAACAGTTTCAGACCTACATCATAATTATTTACATTACATACCATTCCGTTATTTTTATCAAACAGGCATTCCGGCCCGACGTCACTCTGTTGGCATTTCTCCAAAGCCATTACCGCTTTTTTTCCATATTCATGTGTAGAGGTTATCTATCTGTTCTCAGTAGGTGCTATGTAATCTAAAACATGCACAACATTTGAGCTAAGATCTACCAAATACAATTCTACTCCATGTGTTTGTTACCTAATTACTCCCAAAATTGTCTTGCCAGATTTGCAGAAAATTTTACGTATGTCTATCAAAAGATTCCTAAATCATTTAAACATAAATGTTCCCTGGTGTTTATCGTCTACTGTACTAGACCCTCGTCCAATTCAAACGGGAATCGAAATTGCGAAATCCGAGCCGAAATCAAACCCCTAGCGATACCCTCAGACTAAAGTCGTCTCCGTCAGACAGGAATTGGCTTTCAACCGCTACATAAGTCCTTAAGGTTTGGAATGCTATCTGTACTCGCCCACTATCACTGTGTTAAACTGTAGATGCCAATTGCGGCCAACAGCTGTACAATAATCTTAAATAATATTATAAAAATAAATATATAAAATGATGCAACCATAATTCAGTATTGAGTTTATACTTCGGTAAGACGGCATCGCTTTTAGGTGTCTTATCAATAAAAAAACAAAATAACTTAGTTATTTATACCTACTACAACGATAGTTATTTACAATTACCACTCACATTAATGATGACCTTTAGTTCCGGTCATAGGAATTCGTCTAACTTAAATTCTATTTACAAGGTCTTTTCTTATAAAATTAGTATAAAATAACAAGTACTATAAAAGAAAATAATATTCCTTTGAACATTTGTTAAACAATTTTTTAGATAACTGGAATGGATAATAAGATCCATGATTGTATTACTGAAACAAAATACATATCTATGGCCATTAATTAGTTTATTAAAAAAACTCCTTAATAACTAATATACTACTGAATTAATAGTTATAGTAACCAACACATATAATAAAGGATAATTATCTCTGAAGAGATAGTCTCTTTGTTCACTCATCCCAAAAGGGCCGGAACACAGAACTTCTCTTCTTAATGATGCTTGCAAAATGGCAGCTAGTTAAATATCACGAAATATAATTATGAAATTCTAGTTGAAAAGCATTTACGATGACACAGGAACTTTCAGGAATTACGTTAAGAGCAAATGGATCTCGAAAGATTTCAGGCATTTTAAACTAATCTATACTGATTAATAAAGCTGAAAACTTTGTTTGGACGCGTCCAAGTTTCTAGAATTTGAAAGAACCTTTTCGTAGCCGAATTCTCGAGGAAGTTTGTACGTTATTAAATATCCACAATATGAAAAGAAAAAAAAGCAAAATGAAAAATATTTGAATGAATGCTAATTGAAAAAGAAACATTGTAAATCCCCTATTTACAATGTTTCCTTTTCAATTAGCATACGATGCAATGCAAGGCTGAGGGACGAGTGCAGCCGCTATTTTAATTTGCTTTATAATTATTTCTTTTTTAAATAAATTCTTTATAAAAATATGGAATGTATAAGTCGATTTACTACTCTATAAGTTAATCATAAAGTATCTGCACAAAATAGGCATCCCACGAAAAAAACTGTATACATTTTCAAGCGACCGCTCGCTCTACATTCGTCAGTCTATTGAAACGCTCCAGACGCCATTTTTCAACAAAAAGCCATCGTAAATCTACCTACAGCTACGGTTACTGATATATTCACTCGTTCGAAGTCTAATTTCCGTAATAGATTTTTTTTTGACCTCGTAACCAGGGTATATTAATGTTCAGAAAATATACATTATTTGATTTTTGTTTGCGTTTGAGTTTTTTAGGAGATTCGGATGGTAAACTATCTGACGGCCCACGAAATAGTTGTTTATGGTCACCGAAGTGTGTATAGTCTAGATGAACATCACGTTATCCTCTCATGAGTTAGCATTCGTTGAAAAATAGGGTGTCATGCCTCTTGTCCTGTAATTTTACTGCCTAATCGCACCCTACAAACCGGTACCCTCGGTCGGCCCTCCGATCGATCCTCTGTCCAATCCAAATGGTTTTCAAATTGGCTGAGACGAGATTTGAACCCAGCTGCACTCAGAATAAAGTCGTATCCATCAGGCTGAAATTGGCCTTCAACTGCTCCATAAGTCGTTTCACGAGTTAGGAGAGCATTTGCACTCTATCTTTCGAAGAAGCTGTAAAATCCAGGTACAGACAACAGCATTAGAATAGTTCGAATGAAAAACTTACAACCGAATCACAGCTTACAAAGGAAGCTGCTTGGCGGGGGAGAGACTGAGTTACCCAATCAGACTACTTTCTATCCTTATTTCTCACCTTTGGTGGAAAAATTCAATAGTATTTACATTTACCTTTATGCTTTAATTATTAAAGAAATTTATACTATACTAGCTATCCCCGCGGTTTCATCCGCGTTAAAATTCAATAAGAAATATAGCCTATGTGTTATTCTAATGCATAAGCTATATTACTGTAAAGTTTCATCAAAATCCGTTCAGTAGTTTTTTTGCGTGAAAGAGTAACAAACATCCATACTTACATACTTTCGCGTTTATAATATTAGATATTAAGAGATATTTATTTATGTTTTTGCAGATACCAGACGAATTCGTTGACGAAGTGGAGCAGTGTAACGACCAGCTTCATCTGAGAGATGGGGAACTGCTGTCCATCCTTCAACGTCTCGCTACAATCATAGCTGACGAGGAGTACATGACAGAACTGCTAGATATTAACAACAAAATCGTCCAACTGTCAGCCGGTACATAAACTAAATTGGACTTAAAATCGTTGTAAACAAGATTTAAATTGCATTATCTTAACGCATCTCATCCTACTTTATATTCAAATATTTTCATCGAAATGTCAAGTTGACAATGACACTTATTTCGCCATTAGGGGTCATAAGGATATTTTTAATAAATCATGGATAATAAGCAATTACGTACTGCATACGATCGTAGTTATAAAACCAATTTATAATTTGAATTATATTTTTCTTTTTAACTATAATTTTATTACAGATACAATAACAATTAAATTTAAATGTTTACCAATATGAATTTTACAAACTATTTAAATTCCGTATATATGTATTTATATACAAAAGTGTTTCAATTTAAGTTTATTTAAATAAAGAATTCTCTATTACATATATGTATATCATAAAAAAAACAGATTTATAACTATTTATTTGCTATAAATAAAAATATTTATAGGATACGGTTCTTAAAGTACAATTAAATAAAGATCAGATTGCTATTGAAAGCGAAAAGCTATATTTATCTCCGAAGCTGAGGCTGTTACCGATTGTTCGGTCGGATATTAATTATACATATATATATATATATATTTATGGATGATAATGGTATGGTGCACCCGTCTGCGCTAACGGTATACGCTGGCGGAGCACCAGTGGAGGATGATAAGATGAGAATGAGGTCAGGTCAGTTAGCCCATCGTGACAAATTCACCAGGAATTTATCACGATGGTTTCCAGGGGAACCGCGTGGAGGTCAACCTGACATGGTCATGAGTTCAGATTACTAACAATCTCGTTTTATTATATAACTATGTTATTAACTAAATAACGCATATACCTAAACTTGAAACTAGTAATATTGTTTTTACCATCTGGTTTAGTAGTTATTTTAGTTTTTTTTATTATTTTCATTTGTTTTTTAATTGTCTTCGGGTTTATTATTTAGTTAATGATGTTTCTTTACATGTAGTGAAATTCATAGCTATATAGCTGTAATGTATTTCATTAGTTTCATTTACAATACGTTATATTACTGTTCATATAGTGATCCATTATTAATTAAGTGGTTTTCATAGTTAAATAACTATCTGAGTATCTGAGACATGACGAGACGACAGTTCTATTGGGGAAATAAACATTTAGAAAGAATTTACTGTTTTATTTCATTTAAGAGTTGTGTGTTCATGTAATACAATTACGATATAGGTATTCTGCAGTATTCGAACCTCAATTCAAAGACCTTTTGTATCCCCTAACCCAAGCGTGATAGCAATAGTTTCAATCGAAACTTTGCTGTAAGTATTTATCGACTTATCACAATGACTACTACTCTACTCGACTTATCACAATGAAAATAAAGGTTCTTGTTTCGTTATTTCACAATAACGTTCATTATAATTCCAATGTCGTGAACACAAAATTTTATAGAGTTAAAGTTATTTTAGAAAAATTTCACGCATTCAGCACGCTTTGTATGGCGAAGAGCCGAAGACATGCAGTCTTAATTTATAACGATTTTAGTATGCGATGTCCATGATATTCATATGATGTCTGTGATAGATCTATCACGGATATCATATGACAGCATAATGTCCGTAGTGGTGTTCATGTCAGTCATCATATCTGTAAGTAAGTTATACTTTGCAAGTAAATAATTCCCAATAATTATTCTGTCTTATTTTTCAATTAATAACAGCAATTATAATAATAATAAGATAAGCTGTCGCGAGCCGCATTGTTAGCGTGTGCGAGCCGCATTTGTCCTGCGGGCCGTAGATTGGAGACCCCTGATTTAAATATAGATTAACTACGATGGTTTCCACGGGCGACCGTGTGCATATATACATAAGTACATATACCCACCACCATTCTATAGTAAACCATTAACCCACTACGTGACATCCCCTGCTGAATAATTTTAACGTATTCTGAAATAATTATTAATTTATTTTTATTTGCTTCATAAGTAAAATTGGTACAAAAGGTGGACTTGATGCTATAGTATTCTCTCACAATCAACCTTTGGGATATGTGCAAAGTTACGTCGGTTTCGATCGGGCCGGAATCGATTGCCGCTAAAAGAATGAATAATAATAATATAGACATAAATACATACGCACATTATTTATACTATTACTATTTTATACATTAATTATATATACGTAAATATTATATAACAATATAATAAACATCTCTATATACATACCAGTACCTGATACCATGCTACTATTTACCAGTTTTATTAAGGCTGGAGGGTTAAAAGATGAGCATAAACACTATTTAAACTTTTTATTAGTAATTTTAGCATTTATTGGTAAGTGTTCGAATACATTCAGAGAGTGAGTTCCATAGCTTTAAAATATTATATTTCTCTTTGTTATAATAATCGATAGCCTAACTATAGGACGTCACTAGTTGTAAAAGAACGTGGACACAACACTAGTCGTATAAGACGCAATAGATAGATTCACATTTAACCACGTCATTGTACTGTAAGAACTTATTAATATATCGTATCAAACATACCAATCTATTTGGCCAAACCAATACACTCTTTTTAATTTAAAAAGGACGTCCTGCGGTACAGCATTTTGTTTTATTCTCAAAGTGGGCATAATATTGGAATCATTCACACGTCAGAAACCAATGTAACACTTGCACAAATAATTTCGTCATATGCAACGTCCGTGGTATTACGTTTGAATTCCGTAGAACTAAGATGTCATGCGTCAATGCCCCTAATTTCCCCCTCCGATCAATCTTCCGCCCAATTCAAACGGATCGAAATAACGACGGCCTGAGCCGATGTTCGAACCCCTAGCAGTGCCCTCAGACTTAAGTCGTATCCGTCAGGCGGGAGTTAACCATCAGTCGCTCCATAAGTAATCTTATATATAAAATTCTCGTGTCACAGTTTTTGCATACTCCTCCGAAACGGCTTGACCGATTCTCATGAAATTTTGTGAGCGCATTGAGTAGGTCTGAGAATCGGCTAAAATCTATATTTCATCCCCCTAAATCTTAGGGGTAGTCCACCCCAAAATTTTTTTTTTATTTTAAGGCAAAACAACGTTTGCCGGGACAGCTAGTATATATATATTGCATCTATTATAGTAAGTATTAAATAATGTATATATCATTGCATATTAGTATTGCCACACTGGTAAGTGTGGTAAGTTAGGTAAATACCAATAGTATTTACTTAACTTAGGTAAATGTGGTAATGTGTAGAGAGGGTAGAGTGCCTTTTCCCGTTACTGCCCTTCAGCCGCTTTCTGTTTTTATCCAATGATTCGCTGGAAGAGAATGCCACATACATTAGGCTCGTCAATTGTACATATATTTTAAATAGTGCAATAAAGAATAAATCTATACATATATATAAAATTTTTACTACATGCATATGAATATAAATATGCATATCGGTATATACACCAAAATAACATTTTTAAAATTTTTTGTGTGTCTGTCTGTTTGTTCCCGCTAATCTCTGAAATGACTGGACCGATGTTCACGGGACTTTTATTGGCAGGTAGCTGATGTGATAAGGAGTAATCAATAAATCATTCCACTCGGACGTAGTCGAGGGTACAGCTAGTAAATAATAAATTAGGGAGAACGTAATGACTATACATATGATTATTCTATATTAACAAACAAGCTGCTACACGGCTGAAATAGGTGAGACAGACCTACGCAGTTGACTTTGTACAAAGTCAAAATGTACGTTTGAGTACACAATAATATCATATCATCATTTACTATCATTATACGAGTAGTAAAACATATTTAATGATTATTTAATGTTGTATTACGTTATCTGGAGTTTGGACTTCGATTATTATTTTATTTGTTGTATCATTAAATTGATTGATTATTATTAATAAACGGATTTTTAATGACACCGAATGCGACGTTGCTCAAACAGTAATCTAATTGTTAATGATTATTTATACTACCCTTAAATAAATTCAAAACATCTGTTAAATCATATTTACTGAGCAAAGGCTCACTCACTAAACCATCACTACAATAGAATCACGAGCGTGCATGCCAATAGTTTAATGTTATACATAGACACCTATATTAATATTCATTGTAATTAAACGGGCTTTTAAAAAAAATTGTAATTCAATTGAGTTTATTGCCCGTTTTTCTAAATTGGGTCTATATACTGAACTGGACGGTAGGAAAAAAATTATAACATAAAAAATGTTACGTTCATAAGCAGCTAAAATGTCCTACATGAATAAATATTACTTTAATTTGAATTTGAATTTATTCTGTTTATTCATCTGGCGTTATGGGCGTGAAGATATTTTAGGTAAAAATCAGGAGTACCTACATCTTCTGCACACTGTCTCGTGTCTGGTGGCTCAGATCAGCGCTGTCGTATAACTTGGTTATGCTACAGTATAAATACTCAATCACATATTTACTATAATAAAAAAATAATACAAAATTAGAAAAGTCGAATGTTGGTGATTATTCATGATATTGTACAAACTTCCTCAATAGTGAAACTATGTAATATTATATTATCTGTGGTGAAACTTATTTATATTAAAATATTTTTTAAATAGGTATTACGCGTAAACAGCGCGATCACGTGATCTTTGTTTCTTCTTTTTTTATTTACGAGTAGACGACCGACCCTGTATAAAATAAAAAAAAATGACATCGCTATAGGTACCTACTAATCAAGATTGGCATCTATTATCGTATTTTCAGTCGGTCCTTGTGTAGGGTAAACGTGGGCAGTGAGGGGGCGGAAGTAATTACTTGTGGGGGTAGACTGCAAACAATAAAATAACCACTGCCCTTTTAGAGGGCTTGAAAAATTTATTGCCATCGTAATGTTACTTCCTTAATATATCACAAGCTATGTTACTTACGGATAATATATATATGTAAAATGAAACTTTTTAAAATCGGCCTTGTATTTGAGTATATCGATTATAAACATATACCAGCAAAGCAATGATCTTTCCAAACGACACTGAAATCTTCAGGAAAAGAACTTATTCCTTCTTAAAAGGCTGGCAAAGCACTTGCAATAGCTGTTGCGGGTGCTGGGCTATGGTAATTACTTACCATCAGACGGAAGG